TACAATAGTCCAGCCTTGAAGTAACAAATGCATGGACTAGTTTCTCAGCATCACCCCTGGACAGGATATTTCTAATTTTTGCAATGTTCCTCAGATGAAAGAAGGAAATTCTAGAAACCTCTTTGATATGGGATTTAAATGACAGGTCCTGATCAAAAATAACACCAAGATTTTTTACTTTATTATCTGAAACCAGTTTAATCCCATCCAAATGAAGTGACTGGCTAATCAGTTTCTTTTTCAGAGACTCTGGTCCAAAGACTATAACTTCTGTTTTGTCTGCATTCAGAAGCAGAAAATTAAGAGTCATCCAGGTTTTTATGTCTTCAAGACATGCCTGTAATCTATGTAATGGGTTAGCTTCATCTGGATTTATAGACAGATATAGCTGGGTATCATCAGCATAACAGTGGAAATTAATCCCATGCTGTCTAATAATTCTACCAATTGGGAGCATGTATAAAGTAAAGAGAATTGGTCCTAGCACTGATCCCTGTGGTACTCCACAGGTAACCTTTGAGCGTGTTGAAGATCTATCATTAACATGAACAAACTGAATTCGATCAGATAGATAAGATTTAAACCAGTCTAGTGCTGTTCCTTTAATTCCAACAAAATATTCAAGTCTTTCTAAAAGAATATTATGGTCAACTGTATCAAATGCAGCACTAAGATCCAACAGGACGAGCACAGATACAAGTCCATTATCTGAGGCCATGAGAATATCATTAGTGACTTTCACCAGAGCTGTTTCAGTGCTATGATGAGCTCTAAAGCCAGACTGAAACTCTTCAAAAAGTTCATTATGGTGGAAGTGATCGCAAACTTGTTTGGCAACTACTTTCTCAAGAATTTTGGATAAGAAAGGAAGATTGGATATAGGTCTATAATTGACCAAGTCATCTGGGTCAAGAGACGGTTTCTTAAGCAGAGGTTTAATTACAGCAATCTTAAAAGCTTTAGGTACATATCCCTGTAACAGAGATAGATTAATCACATCTAAAATGGAGGAGGAGATCAAAGGGAATACCTCCTTAAATAACCTGGTTGGAACTGGATCTAACATACAAGTTGAAGGCTTAGATGAAGACAATAATTTTGCTAATTCAGAGAGTTCAACTGGATCAAAGCAGTCTAAACCCGGTTCAGATTCCATGACTACCTCAGGTACAATCGCGGATAGAGGAGTGCTTATGATCTTATTTTTAATAAGATCAATCTTATTTATAAAGAATCCCATAAAATCATTGCTGCTAAGAGCAGGTGGAATGGACGGTTCAACAGAGCTATGGCTCTGGGTGATTTTGGCAACTGTATTAAAAAGAAATCTAGGATTATTCTTATTCTCCTCTATTAATGAGGAGAAGTATGCTGCTCTTGCTTTACAAAGGGTCCTCTTATACAGCAGTAAACCATTTTTCCAGACTAGGAAGGACTCTCGCAGGCCTGTGGAGCGATATTTTCTCTCCAGTTTCCTAGCATTTTGCTTCAAAGTACGCAGCTCTGCATTAAACCAAGGAGCAAGCTTTCTATTTTTAACGGTTTTCATTTTCAAAGGAGCTGCGTTGTCTAAGGCAATACGCAGAGAACTAGCAACCCCCTCAACAAAATCATCAACCTGTGAAGGGGAATAAGCTAAGCTTTTGCACTCTGCAGCACTGCTCAGTGACACAGAGCAGAGAGAAAGTGAAGCAGATTCTTTAAAATTTATAACTGCACTATCTGATAAAGATGTACTAAAATTGAACCTTCTTTTGGGGGAGGAGAACTCTGTTAAAGTAATCCTGAAGGTTATTAGAAAGTGGTCAGAGAGGACAGGGTTGTGAGGAAATACTGTTATTTCTTCACATTCTATGCCGTATGTCAGCACAAGATCCAAAGTATGAAGATGAGAATGCGTGGGACTATTCACATTTTGAACAAAGCCAATAGTGTCTAAGATAGCATTAAAGGCTGCTCTTAAGCTATCGCCTTCAATGTCAGCATGGATGTTAAAATCTCCCACTATGATGACCCTGTCAGTATTTAATACCAAATCAGAAAGGAACTCTGAAAACTCATCTAAAAATTCAGAGTAAGGACCTGGTGGACGATACAAAGTTACAAAAAGAAGAGGTTTTCTTGCCTTGAAATTTGGATCAGGGAAATTAAGGGTTAAATGTTCAAAAGAGTTGTAGGAATTAATTGTTTTGGGAGTAATCAGTAAGTCAGACTCGAAGATTGTTGCTACTCCTCCTCCTCGCCCAGAACTTCTGGGGATGTGAAAATTTAAATAGCTTGAAGGAGTTGCCTCATTTATGCTCACATAATCCTCTTGCTGCAGCCAGGTTTCTGTAAGGCAAAACAAGTCAATGTGATTATCACAAATCAAGTCATTAACTAGTAGACTTTTAGAGGAAAGCGATCTTATGTTAAACAGACCGCATTTAATTGTTTTTACTTTTTCCCCAATTGGAGTTATTTTGATTTTAATTAGATTATCATGATTTACTCCTTTGGGAATCTTTGCTAATTTATTAGATTTTGGTCGTGGGCAAGACACTGTCTGAATGGAGTAAAGAGTGGGTAACAGTAGAGAAGCTGCAGAGATGTGTGTTAAACTACAACTCTGCTTCCTGGTCTGCACCCTGGGTGGTCAGGGTTTTGGAGGACTAATAAATGTGGCCAGATTCCTAGAAAGAAGAGCTGCACCATCCAAAGTGGGATGGATGCCGTCTCTCCGAATCAGACCAGGCTTTCCCCAAAAGGATTGCCAATTATTAATGTAGCCCACGTTGTTTTCAGGGCACCACCTAGACAACCAGCGATTGAATGACGACATGCGGCTAAACATGTCATCACTGGTCAGATCAGGGAGGGGACCAGAGAAAATTACGGAGTCCGACATTTTTTTGGCAAACTTACACACCGAAGCAACACTAATTTTAGTGACCTCCGATCGGCGTAACCGGGTGTCATTACCACCAGCGTGAATAACAATCTTACTGTATTTAACCTTATCCTTAGCCAGTAGTTTCAGGTAGGATTTGATGTCGCCCGTTCTGGCCCCCGGCAAACATTTGACTATGGTCCCTGGTGTCTCTAATGCCACGTTTCTGACTATGGAGCTGCCAATCACCAGAGTGGGCTTCTCAGTGGGTGTGTCACTGAGTGGGGAAAACCGGTTAGAAACGTGAACGGGTTGGTGGTGACCAGTGGGCAGAGATCCACGACTACGCTTTCTGCGTACAGTTACCCAATCGCCTGGCTGCTCAGGCACTTTTGGAGAACAGCTACGTGGGGGGCCTACTTCAACAGCCTGAAGCCTGGATTCTAACTCTGACACCCTCGCCTCCAAAGCTACAAAAATACTACACTTATTACACATCCCATTATCACTAAAGGAGGCAGAGGAATAACTGAACATCTGACACAGAGAGCAGGAGAGAGGAGAGGAAGAAGGAAGAGTTGGAAAAGAGTCAAGGGAGGGAGAGAGAGAAGCCATAGCAATGCTAAGCTAGCGCTAGCCTAGGCTAGCTACTTCTTGCTATCAGAAATAAAACCGTGTGAAACTGACAAGTGCTCAGTAGAAAAGTGCAGCAGAAGGTGCTATGTTTTAAAGTAGTCAGTTAGAGTTACTTAGATACAGAGATATCACAGAGAAAATAACTTAACTTCAGATGGAGATCCTCTGAACAGCTGCACACTCAGTTGCACACTCAGTTAATCCAAACATTAGAACTGTTGTTATAATTTACTTGTGTTGATAAGTATATTACAATTTTCTTAATTGAAACAGGTGATTATTGCTTTTTAATTACCATTATAACCCATGTAGGTTTTACTGTAAGTGCTCATTTTTATTTACAGATAATATCGCATCATTCCTTCAACAAAGCATAAGATGCGCAGATGTGCGACGTGGGTATCTGTCAGTCTATTACAGCTTTTGTTTGCCAGTTCCATGCGGTTTTTGTTTAAAGATTTTCTTGAATACAACAGCTTATTAAGGATTTTGAAACACCTGCTTAAGACTTCTTTGTAGCCTAAATCCATGGGCAGTTCTAGACAGGGGCCAACGGGGGCCAGAGCCCCTGTAAATCATGTCCTGGCCCCTCTTATGGCCCCTGTACTGAAGACATAATACCAAAGAAATTCTAATGATGATATGCGCTGGAACGGGCATGGTTACTGATAGATCCTTTGGATCTATTTCATTTTTTTCTTTACAAATTCTGTTTTATGAACTATTAAAAAACAATAAGGTGATAGCTTCAGTGGTATTGAGATAGAATCCCAGTTTTCATCTGCTAAATGGTTTTTCAAAACAAATTTAAAAAATACTCTAATTTTTACTGCTGAATTTAACAGTTTTTCTTAAATTCTAATTCAGATTTTATATAAAACCGAAATTTCAACTCAAATTAAGTCAAAAATATGTAAAATTCCTAAATGTGTATTGACCTAATAGGACATTTAGAATTTTAATGAAACTTAATCACTCTTTATTTATTTGAATCCCTTGCCCTGTTTTTTATTTCATGCTTTTCTGTGGCCCCATCAAAACATGCTGCCCTTCCCCCGGCCCCCCTGGTACATTTGGTCTTGAGCCGCCACTGACTAAATCTCTTATACTATTTCATTTCTCCTCCTCCTTAGTTAATTTGCTCTGCTTTACAGTCATTCTAAGAATGTGGTTATTCCTGCTGCAGCTTTTATTTCCTTTTTGTTAAGTTTCCTCTTACAAGTTAAATTGGATGCATCGCCCTTCAGCCAGACCAGTTGTGACTCATTATGGACGGTTAATCACTGCTTGACAATCATCAGTCTTTCACATGATTTGGACCATAAAAAACAGATTCAGCATATTCGGTTCATAATTCGTCTACTGTTATATTAAAATGTATGGCTACAGATAAATAAAAATTAAGTGTTTTCAACAATTAGGTATTTTGGAGGTGGCCTCCGTAGACCTATTCATTTTTGATGACGTGTTCATTGACGTGTAATTAATTGTATTTTGTCTGTTGTTGGCAACCTTGTTTGCATCGCTGGTTTCCGTTTATTGTTTTTATTAGGTTTCGTTTCTTCAGACTCTGTAAGTGTTTCGATGTGCCCGTTTTAACATTCGGCCCCGTCCGTTTACTAATAGCGTTACTGATTCAGTGAAAGCCGCAGAGCACCGCCCGTCTGGAGTGTTAGAAGGTTAAAAGCGAGCAATCCTCAATAGGATTTTCTTCGTATGAAGTCGTATGATTTCCTCACACATCCGTGAAGAGAGATCTAGAGAACGTTTTTGCTACATTTTTGAGTCACACTGTGATCTAGAATCATGGTCAAACGGAGTTTATCTTCACTCGTCCAAATTGGAATGGACTTTTTCGAGTTTTTAAACGAGACCCAAAGGACTTCCATCACAGACAGACTCCAGCTTAGAGACATTTACAATGATGAGTTCAGGTGCAGGTGAGTACATAAACCAATCTACCAGGGCAGACCAAAATTTGATATGTATTTAATTTCATTCTAATATTTCCTTGATTATAGGAATCCAGGAATCAAAGATCCAAACTTTGGTTCAGTCCTTCACGCCCTCAAAGTGTGTCACAAGATAAAAAGACGAACAGACATCATAAACTTCACCCCAGCGGTTAGTATACATTTATCCTTTTTTGGCATTGGCCCTTTATGCTATTTTGACAATCAAATTTAAAATAAATTTAATTGAAACAGTTGAAGCTTATAAATAATTTAATTGTGCGAGTAAAAAAGGTGAAAGTGCAATTATTTTTTTTTTTTATAAAAACTTTTAAAAAACATGGATGAACTCTAAACACAAGAAAGCAATCCTGTTACACACACACACACACACACACACACACACATATATATATATATATATATATATATATATATATATATATATATATATATATATATATATATATATATATATATATATATATATATCTATATATAGATATATATAGATATATATATGAAATTGTGAAAAATAAAAGTGTCGCATTACCTAATTTAACAGTGAAGTTCCTTAAAAACTGTCGGACATGGATTTTTATTTATTTTCTTACATTGTTATATTTTATTTTGTTATTTTGTTGTGTTTTTTAACCAGGAGGTCTCATTCAGATCTGAAACATATATTAGATAGAGCTGGTAGCACAGCCCCACAAATCAGAACTTTAGTATATAAAGCAGTAATGCACAAAATCGAAAATGACAAGGCTATTCAAACACAGCAAACTCTCTTAAAATTATAGTAATTCTTTTATCACTTCTGTTACTTTTTTATGTCACAAAAGAAATGAAGTTTTAGTTAATACAATTTTATATTTTATTACTTGATATGGGTTCATGGTTGGAAAAATCATTTTGTATTACTTGTATGTATTTTTATTAGGATTTTAAATATTATTTAGGTTAAAAAAAATCTAAGATAAAACACAAATATAAAATGAATAACTAAGAAACATTTTTTTTTTTTTTTGCATTTATCTTGAACTTGAACTATCTGGTACTGATTGTGGATGGACCTCGTTATTTCTAAATAGGCTAAAGGTGTCTACAGTAAGGCAAATTGGATAGGATTTGAATAGCATAAAACCTGTCCAACCTGTTTGTAGACACTTACCTCATTGTATACAAACTTCTTTTCCGACGTGCCTGCTGGTTGCATATTTGTGCTAAATGTAAATTAGCCCTTTCTTCTTTGATTTCCGATATTGTCTTCCACCCACTGGCGGCTAGGAAAAATCCAGTAAAGCTGCACCTTTGTATAAGCCACATGGCTCAAAGGTGAGGAAAAAGTAGTGGTTTTTGGTCTGGAAAATACAGTATTTTTAAATATTTATTAACCAATGATTTGACTCCTGATATCCAATAAATAGCTGATCCAGCAAATTAGTCAATTCCGATGCCGATATCCAATCCAGGTATCAGATCTGTGCATCTCTAGTAAAAAAATCCAATTATCGTCACAGCACTACCTGAAAACTAGCTGCTGTCTCATTAGGTTAAGAACTTTACATCAATCATCTTTAATTTATAGAAAATTTGAATTGACCTTTTATTTTTGAGTTAGGGTAAAAAAAATCTCCAGGTTTCAACCATGCAGACTTTTGATTTGTTCTACTGCCTCTTATCGAGGCCAAAAGTAATCTAGAGGTGTGTCTTATTTTTCATTTCAAGATAAATGTCTGATTGAATTTCTGCAGGTCAAAGCTCAATACATGAACCAGTGGTGTATACCCAAGACCCGTGAGCCACCACCCGAGCCAAGCAGGTCAGATAGCATTGATGCCTCAACAGACACCAAGTCAGCAGATGAGGCGGTGACGGGAGTCAGAGCCAGGAGAAAATTGGCCAGTGAGCTGATGAGCATACTGAAGGTGGAAAGGTAATAAGACAGAACTCTCCTAATATTTTCCCTGGTTCCTTAAAAAAAGAAAAGAAAAAAAATATTGCATTTCAAAACAAATAAATTTCTTTAGAAATCTAATACACCTGTGATTGCTTTATGTTTGCATAAATTAGAAAGAAAAAAAAGCAAAACAGAATTCTTGTGACTGAGCAGATATCCTTAGCAGCCTGCATTAATTCTTTACTAAACTCTGAGCTGTACAATTATTTTCTAACATTTGCTCTTTTTTGGACCTTAGGTATCTTTCCATGTTGCTCTCTGATAAACATGGTATAAGCATCACTTCTGACTGTCCGTTTGAGAACGGCAAACTTGTCCTGTGTGTGAAAAACACATATGAGGTACGATTGCTGCCCTTCTCTGTCTGGAATCGTTTGATATTTAACATCTCTAAACCCTTTTATTTATATTATATTTTTTCAGTATACAGTCAAGCTGAATGTGGAAAACACAGGAGATCAGCCTTTGTATTTTACTTACTACACACCACTGCACTGGCTTAGGTGCTTAACTCTACGTGATGAAAAAAGGGTGACCAGACTGCAACCCCTACTTCTAAATCCAGGTGATGCAATTAAAGAAAAAAACAAAAACAAATTCATCTTTATTTTAGAAAAACGTTATAAAATTAGTATTAATGGTGTAATAATAAATGTTTTGTTCTTTTCTCAGGTGACAGCTATGAAGTCGAGGTCAGTTTCCAATGTAGTCTGGTTGGGTTTTTTCCAGCTACACTGGCATTTGAATTCAAACCAGACTTGGAGCCGACCACTGCTGCCTTCCATATTGTGCGGATCATCGAGGCTCAGTGTATAACTGATTTAGGACTGGAGCTGGCCCCTATAGCGCCCTTCAAGCCTCGCTGCCTCCCTGACTGGATCCCAGAACCTGATTGCAAGATTGTGGATGGGGAGCCACCTGAGGGGTACGTTCCTTTTCTCAACATACTCTCCATAAACATAGGAGCACAAACATCAGGTGCTTCATGCAAATTACTTGGAGTTCGAATAATGAAGTAACGTTGAACAGTATTGACATCAGTGTCAGAATGCTTGGTCTATTATTCCAATTTAACAGGCATTGCTCAGGTGCGGTGGCGGGGGGATCTCTGTTCCAATGCATAGAGATGTCTGTGGCATGCACTCACTTAATATAGGCCTACGTAATCCTACAACAACATGATATTTACAGTTGGTTTATTAAAAACGCTTTTCAGTAAAAGTCAACAACAATAAATACATAACAAATTATAATTTTATTCAAAATGTATTTATTAAAAAATGCTTAACAATTCCTGTAATGAATGAATAGCACAATGAAAGAAATAATGTCTCATCTAAACATCCCTCACTTAACAAAAAAGTTAACAATAACTCTCAACTCCCAATATACATGATACTCAGCCTCAGTAATGAACGAAATAATGTCTGTTCTGTAGGCTATTGGTAAAAATAAATAAAAAAATGAGCTAATTAACAAAAAATACTTCTTGTGTAGCAAAAATAACTCAAAATGTACCAAAAACAAACAAACATATCAATAGACTATCTTTACTTTTGGAGTCCAGGTGGCTTTTCAGATCCGTTGCACGTCCATTGGACACTGAGACATATGTGCCTGCTTTGCACACTGTGCACAAGGCCTCCCATTTGTCTCGACCCGGTCTGAAAGCGGGGAAACTCTTTTGTAAATCGTCGGTAAACATACATTTGCGGCTTTGCATGTTGTTGGCGTACTGAGAGCCACGCTATCTATCTTCTGATTAAGAACAGGGCTGCCCGCACTGGCGCGGCTCAGGGGTTACGTCACACGCAGTGCCCTAGTGCCTGTAAATTTAATGGTCCAATGAAGGTAATTTAAAAAAACAGGACATTTCCTCACTTTCTAAAAAAAAAACCGGGACGCCCAGGACAGGACGTGAAATACGGACATGTCCAGGGAAATACAGACGTTTGGTCACCCTAAGTAACTAAGTAAACATGGCAACGATGCTATCAGTCTGTCAGTGATAGACTTCATGAACACACCTCAGGGACATTTATTACAGCCATTCAACAACTCAATAAATTACATCAGCAACTGTGTGAAGTACAGTTAATGTTTAAAACCTTTAAGGATTTAAAGGTCCTTCGATTCGAATTGTAATTTTAGGAGTATCTATTAAGCATTTTCTGCAAGTTTTATTTATTTCAAGCAACATACAGGTGTGTCGGTCAGTAGGGTGTTTCAGGTAGACTATTTAATACCTAACCTGTCAATCGGTGCCTCCTAAGAACAAACATTCTGTTGCACTGAGGGATAGTTAGATCTTTAATTGGTATGGTGCAACACAGTCTTTTAGTACAGAGTCCTGCAGCGGGTCGGGTACCCACCGGCATCTGGTAGGTATCTTTATAAATCGTACATCTGCAGGTAGAAAAATTACCCACATTATTTCACAGGTGCGGGAACGGATATAAATTAACAAAATGCAGGCAAGTGTCATACAGAGTTACAGCATGAAACTTATTATTTATAATTTCTTATTTATTAACTCTACATCTTAATTAACATTTTCAAGAATATCCAAGTAACATTAAGTTTTTAAGCAACAAGGCAACCCTAGTTGTGAGTGTGAGGCAATGTTCTTTACTGCCTCTATTATTGAGACAGTATTCTGCTGCAGCTGGAAAAATAAAGAATGTTGTGTTTGAGGACTTAAATGGCTGTGTGTACACTTTGTCATTAGGGGTTGGGTCGCCCAGGTTTAAACGCCCAGGTTTTAAAAAGTAATAATTATGGTAATCCTGACACATGCAGGACTCTGGTTTATATAAGACAATCTAAAACAGATGATATCATCACATGCCAGCAGGTCAGCAGGATCACTGAACACATGCACCCTCCTTGCACAATGCGACACACCTTGATGCAGCTATTTATGCGTATGTGAGATTATCTACACCATATCTACTTGATTAATCATCTTATCTAATTTGTAAGGAATAATAGCCTTTTGAGAATAAAAATTTATTTTTTGTAACTCAGCGCACATATATAAGAACTTTTACATGACCTATACTGAGGAATATTTACAGACTCATCTTGCTGAGACTGTTTTCATGGTTTTTGTGTATTATATTATTATATGAAGCTAAATTCTATTCTGTTTTCTCCTTTTGTTTTGAATCTTAAAAGCACAAACCCATGGAAGAAAATTATTATTGTAGGTTTGTCTTTCATTTTAAATTAACTGAATAGAGTCAAATTTGTGTTTCTTTGGGTAAGTTTTCGTTTTTTTTAAATATTTTTATTGTGGATTGAAAAATTGCTGCACGCTTTCACACAACAATCATTTTTAGACTTTATGAGTTAGTTGGAGAAAACTGTGCTGCGGGATTTTTTGTGCATAGAAATGCTTTATATTTACGAGGCCCCGGATGTTCTTGATAACACCCACGATGGTTTATATTACATTAAATTATTACTAAAAGGTATGCTTTGGTTTGATTTGGACTGATTTGCTTTCATCTTTATTTCTTTTTCTCACCTTGCAGACTCGCTGTGATGCAACTAGAATATGTGGTTCACTTAAAAAAGTACCTGACACCACCATACATGAACGACCTCATTCAGCTACTGAGGAAACCTACTCACCCGTCTCGAAACTTTCTCGCTAATGAGAAAAGGTAAGTTGACAAGTTTCTACCTAAAAAAAGGTTCTAATGCGAATATACTCTATTAAACTTGTTTTATTAATATTATTATTTTTTTGAAGTAATTTTTTGGAGAAACCTTTGTGTTGGGAGAATTATACTGAGAAGTTCCAGTTGTTGCTGTATCTGGAGGAACTTCAGATGGAGTTTGATATCAGAAGATACAACATTCCCAATGACGACAGAAAACACGCTGAGCTAGCAAGAGACACAACCAACCGGAAGCTTCTTGTTCTAGAGGTATGAACGTGCTCCTGTCATTCAGGTTAGATATAATGGTAGAATATTTTGATTGACGCTGAAAAAAGAGGGACGTCTTTGGATTAAATAAATATGTATATATATGTATATATATATATATATATATATATATATATATATATATATATATATATATATAAAATCTGTTAAAGTGGAGTGTGTCATTTCTTTTAATTCACCCTCCAGGTACCTGGTGTCTCTGAGAACCGACCCTCTGTGCTGCGGGGGGATTCACTGCTTATGTACCCGCAGGGAGAAAAGGGGGTGAAATACCGTGGATATGTTCATGGTGTGCAGCTGGACAGCATCAGACTGGGCTTTGCCCAAGAGTAAGTCTGAGACACTACAGCAAGAGCAGTAACAACAAAAGGCACACAGTCCCTCATCTGGAAACAAAGCTTCTACTACTATTTTTGTCTCCTCTTTTTTCACAGATTTCTAAATCGATATGGCAAAGACTTCAGCTTTATTGAAGGGATAAAATTCAATGTTGAGTTTACAATCAATCGCCTACCTGTGCGGCTCCAGCACAGAGCTGCAGAACTTGCAAGGAGCCATAACCTCAGGAGTGTGTTGTTTCCTGTTGAACCCACTTTATCGTATGGAAAACCTGACCTCCCCAAACTCAAGTAAGAATTTATATATCTCACTTTTATTTCCTGTAGTTCTCATCAAAGACACAAGATTTTACTTTTGTGGCCTCAAGATTCAACCTTTTCAGTACTGCATTGAATTAGTAATAAATCTAGGATATGATTAATCTATATAATATGAGACACTAAGGAACCTTTTTTATAGACACTAAACTGGATGGGTAGACTTGGAGTTTCACGATTTGCACATGTAAGCTCTGAAGCCGGCAGTTGCTATGAATGGAGAGCAGTGCTTGGCAAATCAAATAATATAAATTCTCATTGTTTAACCCAGCAACAAAAAAGGAAGGCTTTCAGAATAGCAAATACTTAAGATATTTCATATCTGTGGGATAAAGAACCAGAAGCAAACTCAGTTTGGTGCTGGTTAAACAGTATCATAAGCAAATAAGGAAGGTCTTAACAAAGTGCTGACCGGTTGAGCAAATCCACAGTAACAGCAGGGACCTTGTTGAATTAAACACATATCAAACTTGGGAGAATGTTTTTCTCCTAGAGGTGAGAATCATCTGCTAGTACAAACTATGGCTCAGGATGTGAAAAACAATCCTTGAGAATGAGGTCAGGCTGCTTTTCTTATACTTAACCAGGAAATCCATTCTCCTCAACACAATTCCTTTCCTTTTCTGTTTTACTGTAGACTGTTTGACTACCAGCTGGAGAAAAACCCTGAGCAGTATCAAGCTGTTCAGCACATTGTAGCTGGGTCATCCAGACCTGCTCCCTATCTTGTGTTTGGTCCACCGGGAACAGGTAAAGTAGACCCAGAATACAGTGCTGATACGGTTTTAAAACCGTAAAAATAAAAAAATAAAAAGTAATCTATAGATTTGTATTAAGCTCCTTAGACATGACTTTTTCACTTATGCTGTTGTGAGTCTTAAATTATGTCTCCAGAAGCAATGCTCCTCTAAATATGTAATGTTTGCTCGTTTAGTCAAAATAACTTATCTCAGATTGGCGGAACTACATCTGTAAACAGTCATGTGGAAATTTGACCAAAGTTACACAGCTGAACATAGGTTTGGGCTTTAACTTGGGCAGTCTAGATATTTTTTTACCTCTGCTATTATATTAAATGTCAACTCCATTTTTCATCTAAACTGCCTTAAATATCCCCTGTACCTAATAGTTATAGTAAACATTTTAAAAGTAAAAGTACTTTAACCTTGTTAAAAGTTATTCTGTATTTCAAGGTAAAACTGTCACTGTTGTGGAGGCCATCAAGCAGATAGAGAAGACCCAGACTTCCTGCCACATTCTGGCCTGTGCTCCCTCCAACAGCGCTGCTGACCTGCTGTGTACCAAGATTCGAGAGCATGTAGACGCGCGCAATGTCTACCGCATATACGCAAGCAGCCGTGACCCAAAACTCGTCCCTGAGCAACTTAAGGTAAGTGATGATCCAAAATGTAAGGTATTGGCATTTCAACCCATAAAAACTGCTATATCATTAATTTTATCACTACTATAATGGATCCACGTTGACTTAGCCTACAGCTTTTTTTTTTTGACACAATGCACTTGCTTTGCTCTGTGTATTTATTTATTTATTTTTGCTTTCATAATAATGCATCATATTTTTGATATCATTTTCCTAAAATGTTTGGATTGTGATGTTTCACAGGCGTGCTCTAACCTGGAAGGAGATTCTTACCATTTTCCTCCCAAAGAGAAACTGATGGAGTATAAAATTGTAGTCACCACCCTTTTAACTGCTGGAAGGTAGTGAAAATCATCCATAACTAAATCACTTGCAAATCATCACACTTTTTGTGACATATTATTTGCTATTTTCTATTTAACCTCACAACTCATTGACACTATGCATGAACTTCTGCTTGTGATTTGCTCCCATTTATTTAAATATTGCAGGCTTGTGTCAGGTGACATTCCCTCTGGACATTTCACACATGTGTTTGTGGATGAGGCAGGACACGCTGTAGAGACTGAGTGTTTAGTCCCCCTGGCAGGTGAAGGAGGATAATCAGCAGGGGCTCTATAATGGGATTGAACTTTATGTTTTATTAATTTATTTTTAAATTTTTGTTTTTATATGTCTAATAGGATTGCTTGATGCTGAGACTGGACAGCTTGTTCTAGCTGGAGATCCCAAGCAACTTGGACCCATCCTCAGATCTCCTTTTGCGCTGAAATACGGAATGGGTAAGAACTAGAGATGGACAAGACAGAGATTTTGTGCACAATTTTGATCACCATTTATATAAAGCTCTCAACTGGTGTTAACAATTTCTCATTCAAACTGTAGAAACAAAAATACTTCTCTTTATAAACTGAAAATGAAGTTCCCTAATTTAAAAAAGCTAACAAAAAATGTGGCAGTGATTTGCACAATACTAGACATAAAACAATTTTAATGCAGTTTTACATTTATTAGTTTATCTGCACAAAATGCAGAACTGCACGGAAATAAAATAAATATTTTTTTAGCAATATATGTGTATATTTCTTACTACTTACTGTGGTTTCTTTAGGTAATTTATTTGATCATTTATTTTTGGTTATTGTAACTATAGAGGTGCTTAAAAAGGTTTTTGTTACAAGTTATCTTCAATTATGTTTAGAGAATGTCAATGTATGTTTGAGTCAAGTCAGTGTTACATAGCTCATCAGTTTAACATGACTTGTCTCTCATTTCAAAACAAACTTAGTTGACAAAGGAACATTATGCTATTGTTTAAGGCATCACCACAGTATGTTTAACACAATATTGTTGAATGTGTACCTTGAATCAGTGCTGCAGATTCAATGCAGGTTGATTGACAACACTTCCAAATCTTGCATATTCAGAAAAGGGATTAATCTGAGCAGGTTTGCTGTTATAAGTTCAGCATCCTTATATTAGCCGATGCCTCACCATATTTTAATGTAGCAATCTGAAGGAACAGCTAACATGCCCATATTTGAGGAAGTTTGTTGATGTGTTGCTACGCAGACATACAGGTCCTAATAAAAACTGCTTCATCTTCCTAAAACACCCATAGAGTCTGTTAGTACCTATATGGCAAACAACTGATAACGTATGAACACGATTTTCTTAAGCCCTGAAAAAACATTCTGTTCAAACTTTTAAAACACCCATTTTAACCTACACACACGATTTCAGTGCAATTAAAGCTTAGTAAAATGTCAAATCTTTCCTGATATTAAATTGTGTTTTAAAAACATTCAATAGCTTTAGCGAGTTTTGTTAGTTTGTGTTTTCACAACTAGAACAAAGATCAGAATCAACTTCTTTGATTCACCAATTGTAAAAAATCAGATATCGTTATGAAAGTTGAAGATTCCAGTTCAATGTTAATTTCTTTGAGCATTCTTTTTTTTTTACACAAACTGTCTTTACAAAGCCACACTTAATTTTTAATGACAATTTAAAGGGCTCTGACTCCAGCCTTGACTTACATAATGCTGGAATGTATATTAAGTGGTTCAAATACTGTGCTGTTTGCAGGAGTGTCCCTCTTGGAGCGCTTGATGACTGATTTCCCGCTGTACCAAAAGAATGAGGGTGTCTACAACAACCTCTATGTGACAAAATTACTGCGTAACTATAGGTGAGGTAGAACATGTTTAATGTTTTTCATCAGCAGAATCTACGTGTTCATGTTTTCAGAATACAACTTCTTTATCTTCTCTTTCAGGTCTCATCCTGTCATTCTCAAGATTCCCAATGAGCTTTTCTATGATGGAGAGCTTCAGGCTTGTGCTGAAGAATATTCACGCAACTTCTACTGCAATTGGGAATACCTTCCCAAGCAGGTATTGATTCACTGATGTTACTGTAGGATAGTTGTATGCAGAGGAGGGTAGTAGCTGGTTACATTTCCTCAGTTACATTTGCTTGAGTAACTTAAAAAAAAAAAAAAAAAGTACTTTCAGGGGTTTTACATCATTGTAATTTCATTTTACTTGAGCAAAAACATGACATAGTATCTCTACTCTTACTTGAGTAAAATTTCTGGCTACTCCATCTATTGTGAGTAATTAAATTAATGCAAAGAAGCTTATTTTAAACAAATATGCACTATTATGAGACAAACTTTCACATTTTTTTGTACTTAGTGCTTGCTATTTAAATGTTAATTTCCATCTGCTGTGTACGACAGAGTTTTAGGGCCAGGTTAGAGGGGTTTTTTTGGGTTTTTTTTTCGAGAATAAAGTCATCATATTTTTGAGAAAAAAGTTATAACATTACAAGAATAAAGTAATAATAAGTACAAGAATAAAGTTGCAACATTACGAGAATAAAGTCTTAATATTATGAGAATAAAGTCCTAATATTACTGGAATAAAGTTGTATTTTATGACAACTCCTACAAGAAGCACTTTCCTCCCTAAACTGAGAAATGTGGAGCTGGCCTGGCCCTAATACTCCCTTGTAGCAGTGTCATTTGGAGGTTGAGTTAAAATACAGTAAACAGTATACTCTAATTTAACATGTATAAATACTGTTACTATTGATTTTCTAAGTTTTATAACTGAAAACATTTATTTTGATTAATGTCAATTCCACCTATTTTTTTTATATAATGAATGTATGTTACATGTTTATTTCTATGAATATGCATCAGAATTTCACATCATTTTGTAAAATGTTAAATTGGTTATGATCATGGATAAAAAAGTAGATCAGTTACTCAGTATTTGAGTATCCTCTTTACCTTTAAGAAAGTACAGTCTATTTAGTGATTACAATATCTGAAAATATTTCAATTGTCTACTTTTGTGGCATTGTGCAGACCTAATTGGATTCAAACTATCTTGATAATCATCAAAAAAAAGTAACTCAAATAGTGTGGAAAGAAATGCTTTTTTTTATTTTTATATTTCTTCTAAAAAAAGTTCTTGCATCTCTTTCAGGGCTTCCCATTGATCTTCCATGGGGTTACTGGTACTGACGACCGTGAGTCCAACAGCCCCTCATTCTTTAATATTGCAGAAATAGAGGTGGTTATGGAGTATGTCAAAAAACTGCTGCAGACACAAGGGAAGAAAGGGCTAGCAAAAATAGCCCCTAAAGATATAGGCATCATCGCCCCCTACAGGAAGCAGGTGTGAATTGTTTTCAAACACATGACCCTTGGTGATGGCTTTTTATTTTTAGAATAGGTGCTGCTGAAATAAACAACTTCTAGGGACATGTGAAAACTAAATGGTACAATGGTTTTATATCTTTGTGAAACACAGGTGCAGAAAATACGCAAAGCCTTGGAAAAGGTTGGGAAAGACTTAAAAGTTACTGACATGGGTGATCTTAAGGTAATACATACTAACATCATAGAGGGACAAGTGCTGTATTTTTTTTTCAGAACTATACGATTGGATGTAGTGAAAATGCGTACACAACCATACATTCAACACTTCATCTTAACAGTGTTTTTTATTACAAAGGTGTACTTAAGTAGCTCCATGATCCTTGTTTGCTGTGCTTGAAAAAAATCTGCATATGATAACGCTGATGTCAGTGTGCTTTACAGTGGATTCAGTGTTTGAGGATTACCTGATAAGCTGTCTGCAGCCTCCAGAACTAGAAAAATAACACTCTGTCTTTTTGGACATTGTAATTCTTGTCAGTTTTAAAAAGTCTCTCACCAATAACTTGGCCTCACATATGTTGGTTAAAATTTTACAGAACTCATTGAGAACTGTAGACCTTTGTTAACCATCTTGAAGTTTTTTCATTGGATAAATCTCTGCAATTTTGACTATTTTGATAAATTCTGTATTCTCTTACATTTTACTGGATTTTGGTTTCTACTTTAAAGCCTTTAATATTCTGCTACTCTTAAATATTTACCTGAATTGTTTCCCTGTTAATCAATGACTTTATCAAAGGCTTGTGTTATAAAAACAGTGTCTGAAAAAACACATTTTGCACTGATAATTAAAGAGGGACATAATGCCTGTGTCCTTAGGCAAGAGCCCCCTACTATTTGTTGTAGAATGAATGACCTGGTTGATCAGCACAACTATTATTTTTAAATCCCCCTCCTGTCAGTTATTTATTTTATGTTTTACTGCATGCTTTAACTGTTGTTTCACTGTTGATCTTATTGTAAAATATTGTCTGCAAAAATAGGCTTTTTTTTTTTTATAAATACCAGTTATTGATCTGGTTAGTGATGTAACATATCTGTACTTGTGTTTATGTATGTGGCAGGTCGGTTCAGTCGAGGAGTTTCAAGGACAAGAGAGGAGAGTAATCCTGGTGTCCACAGTTAGAAGCAGTCCCAGATACTTTGATATTGACAAAAACTTCAGCCTGGGCTTTGTCAAGAATGAGAAGGTTAATAAAACAGCCACACACGAAGACGTTGAATATTCGAGATAATCCTAACTGTCTTTGTTTCTTCAGAGATTCAACGTGGCTGTGACTCGAGCCAAAGCTCTGCTGATCGTGGTGGGAAACCCCCTGGTATTGAATGCAGATTCTACCTGGGCCCGGTAATATTTCATATGCAAACGGTTGCAGACTTCAATATAATAGAAGTGAAATCAGAGCTTCCATAGAAGAAAATTCTGTTGTTTTTTCCTTTCTTTTTTTTTAAGCTTTATCGAGTACTGCAAAGAGGAAGGAGGCTATGAGGGCTTCACGCATGCTGAGGAAGATGAGGGGGAGATCGTAGCCAGATTGTCTGCACTCTACATCAGCATTGAGGCTCAGAGTAAAACCCATCTCATCTCCTCTCTTAAAAGAAAAATAAGCTGTATTTTCAAACAATGATGACACATTTTTCCTCTCTATTCCAGTTGAGACTGCCGAGAGTGTTGTCCAACAGCAACTGGATCCTGAATGGAGGAACGACATGTGAGAAACCGGAAGAGAGACGATGTCCAGTGGGAAAACTTGAAGAGCATTATTACTATATAAATACAAATCACTGCTCGGCATTAAGAGTCAGTATTCATCTGACATGAGGTCAGGGAAGACATTTTAATTATCAGTAACAGCATTTGGCCAAAGACGAAAGTTGCAGAGAAATGAATTGCACTTAAAGATGAAAAACATTTAAATATTCAGTCTTCTCAGGGTTCAAGTTTTTTTTTAAATCTATATCACAGCTATTTATAAGTCAATAAAATGTATTAGTTGATTATTTGTGTGTTGAATCACAAAAAAATCTAAATCAAAGTGTGGCATTTAAAGAATATAAAAACTCAAATTACCATTACTCTAGCCTGTATTATGTCATAGCATGAAAATGCAGGATCTTTTTAAATAATTTTTCACAGCTGTTTAGTTGGGGCTTTTTCTGTCAAACCAACAAGGGTATGATACATACTTCTTGTTTACCTTCACAAATAAATTTGTAAATCATGCAGTGCATTTGTATTCGGGGTGCTGTGTCAGAAGTTTTTACAACCATTTGTTGCATGTACTGGTGAAGATTCTCAGTTATCTAGGTCATAGTCATTCCAAAAAACAAAAACCATTGGACTCTGTTTAGCAAGTCTGCAGACATTTTGCTTCCCATCCAGGAAGCTTTTTCAATTCAAAATGTTTTGTTGCATGACTAAAGACTTTGCACAACTGTACTTGTACTGTACTGGACTTGAATGCACCCATTTTCCTTTGCAGATTTCCCCAGATGGATATTAAATTCAAATCTTTCCATAGGGGAAAAAAAAAAACATATTCAGGATCGCTTTTGACTGGGCAGTTCTACCTGCCCGGTTATTAGAACTAATTTTAGCTGTACAGGTTATGCGAAAAAGAGAATATGGATAAGTTCCCTTGGAGAGACTAGAATGTAAAGAATAACATTTGCAGCCAATGTATATGATTTGCCATTGCGTGGTTTCTCTTGATGCAGTTCTTCCAGCTCAATTATTATTAAATGGATGTTAACAGTCCTTTAAGGCCTATATACTGGTTCCCTTTTTCCTACCAGGTTTTTCATCCACTCATTTTTGCATGGGCATGCTTTAATTCTGTCAGATACTTAATGTAGTTGTAGTCTTACAGTTTATCCGGCAACAGCAGTCTCTTCAGAGACTCCCAAACTTCCCAAACAGTGTTACATGCCTGAACCAGGGGGGGCATCCAATAAAGATGCCCAAGTCACCTCAGCTGACTATATGTGGAGGAGAAGCGGCTCTATTGAGCTCCTCACCCTTTAAGGGAGTGCTCAGGCACCCTAAGGAGAGACAGCTAATTTCAGCCGCTTGTATTCAGGAGAAGAAAGCAGTGACGAAATCTGCTGGACCCTGAACCAGATTCTGACTGCACCTATAAATCCTGTCTATAAAGGTAATGAACAGGACAGAGGGCAGCTCTGTCAGAGTCCAACATGCATGAACAGGTCTGACTTAATGCTGGCAACTTGTGCTCTTCTTGTACAGAAACCAGATGGCCACAGGTAAAGGGCTGCACCTGGCTGGGGGGCTGCTTCAGTATACTGGATGTTGGGTTTTTTATGATTTAAACCATGATCTGAAATGAAATCTAAGAGTTTCCTCCTCTTGGAAAGAAACTTGAAAATACTGAACATTAAAAGGGGAATTCCAGCCTAGGCCCATGTCTTTGCAGCTATCAAGAAGTTTTTATCCAGACCTGAGGTCTGTTTCACAAAGCATGTTTGATAAAAAACTCTAACCTCTGTTTCTGTGGTAACACTTCCTAGAGCTAACCTGGTCAGTTGCAGGTTTTCCCTCAAACTCAGTGTCCTGCATCTCCTCCCTCCTTAAAGCCAATCACTTTTCTTTTCCTTATTTAGTCAGAGATTTCTGCTGTAGTTTGGTGTGAACAAGAAACTGAAAATCATTCACACGGTACATTTGACTAATCACCAGGTGTTAAAAAACACAGCATGTCTGTTGGATGAGGATCTAATTTAAGAATGAGTGGCATTAGTTTGCAATAAAATAAATGTTTATGGGGAGAGGATTTTTAGACAGCGTATAAATGTCCTTTCAAATTCAGAAAGTCATCTTTATGAGAGCTACCATTTCTCCTCACAATTCATCACATCCTTCCATGACTATCTGTCCTCACATTTGCAGCATTACACAGACTTTTAACAAAACTGAACTATATATCAATGGGTTTGTTAACAGCACTATAGAAAAGAACTACACAGACAGACACAGCATTTACAACAGTTCTGAAGAACTTTGTTTTGGGTGATTCTGGCTCCCCCTAACGGACAAAAGCTGTATTTTCTTGTCTTAAAGGAATAGTACACCCAAAACATGATTAGCCTTCATTTTCTACTCACCCCCATGCTGAACAACACTCTGGAGTACTTTTTTGATATCTCAAATGCATCTGGAGATCTGGGAGGCTTCTTGCTGTCTGCTGACATTCAAATAATGGAGGTGCCCAGTGCAGAAAGGTCCATAAAAGTCCACAAAAAACCTGTCAACATTCCTCCATACTGCTCGTCCAATGTATTCCAAGTGTCCTGAGTGGGTAGCATCCAGAATTTACTCGAAACGAAGTTATTTAGAATGTTTTTAGAGCATAAACAGTAGTGTATAGGATTTCCTGAAAGCGCGTTCACGACGCTACGGAAACCGCGGCAGACCAAACCAGATGAAAGTGCGCATTCAGCTCGGCAAAGAACTCATGCTCTTCCTCAACACTGGAGTCCTCAGACATTTTTCTTTTGTTGTTTCTTTCTTTGCACAGGTAAACAGCACATTTCTTCTTCTACGCTTGCATTATTGGCAGAGCAGACGCTGAATGCGCACTTTCATCTGGTTTGATCTGCCGCGGTTTCCGTAGCGTCGTGAACGCGCAGGCGCGTGCTTTTAGGAAATCCTATACACTACTGTTTATGCTCTAAAAACATTCTAAATGACTTTGTTTCGAGTAAATTCTGGATGCTACCCACTCAGGACACTTGGAATACATTGGACGAGCAGTATGGAGGAATATTGACACGTTTTTTGTGGACTTTTATGGACCTTTCTGTCTCGGGCACCATAGACCTCCATACTATTCCTTTAAGGAAGATCACATTTCCCATAAGGACCAGTCCATAGTATTGTAAAATCCTGATCTCCTGGTTGACTGCAGTTGGGTTGAACTACATTTCTGATAGATGAGGTGATGAATCTAATTGTAGCGGAGCAGTTTCATATGACAATGTTGAAAAGAAAAAACATTAAACTTCACCTAAATAGAATATTTGGATCCACAAACATTCAAACAAAATTGTTTTCCCCGTTATGTTATTTAGGCTGTAGCAGGCCGTTTTGATATGTATCATTTTGTCTGAATATGCATTTCTTATATCTAAAATAATTTTTTTCCAGTTCTAACTGAACATTTTAAACTAAATTAAATATTTTAGATGTTAAAAATCGAATTTTCGATGTCCATGTTCCTGGTCATAATTTGAATTATTTCACCTATGAAGAAATTTGAGAAATACATATTCATTCAAGCTGATAAATATCAAAAAACAGCCACTTAAAATGTGTACACATTTTTAGGTATATGAAAATTTATTCTTAAGCATTTATTTATTTTTTTTTGGAAATCTATTACAGTTTTGTCTAGGAATGTGATTTTGACCAGAAAGAATCCCATTTGTGTGATCTACAAACAGTAAAACAGAGCAGGGCTTTTAATGAATGTAAATATGACCTGCCATACCAGAATTCATATGAACTTATGCATCAACTCAAGCAGCAATCTTCTTCTGCGCCATCTCCCTCTCCGTTGCAGCTATAAAGCTTTTAAAAACACTATTTTTTTTCTAATTAGTCATTAAAATCTCTAGTTCCAATTGTGTGTAATGTACTTCCTCTTGCCTGTTCTCATGATGTGTCATTAAAGCTCCCTCTTTTGCAGCTGTAGCACCTTTGCTCTCTTTTAAACACATTCTTAGATATTTCTTTGTAATGCTGCATTTCAGAGCTTAATTTAAAATGGCTTTTCATAGTTACGCACTTGCTCTACTCCACGTGAACCCACTCAGAATTAAACTATCGGCTGTTATGAAACCAAAGACTCAAGAGTTTCCAACCTTAGACTAGGTCATTTCAGAGATGAGGATCTGAGTCGGTTTGCAAAACCTGCTTTATGAAATGGACCTCTGCCCTGCATTTAGCTTCACCCTGTTTTCCTGTCACTGATGAGGAAAAGACATACCCACAGCATGATGGTATCAACACCATGTTGAAAAAAGAGATTATTTAGTTTGTAGGGTAAAATATATTGCAATGTGACATGAAAACCTGCAATGTTAGCTTTGTACCATACATTTGTAGTAACTACCTTTATGCCTGACCCAATTAAACCAATTCAGGCTGAGCTTCGATTTCAACTGAGAACATAAAGATTTGATCCTAGTTATTTTAAACTCAAGTTCAGATTTTTTAAGCCAACTTGTTTAAAAAAATCTATATATCTATCCATCTCTCTATATAAACCTTGCATATTGTGATTTAATTAAGCAACAAACAAGGCCTCATAATTTAGTGAGGCAGACCATCTCTCTTCTTAAAAACACCTACTTATATTACCAGTGTTTTCTGTACAAAACACAGCCAATAGAATTTACACGCTAAGCCAAAAAGACGTGAATATAGACACGGCTGTGAAAAAAGTGCATTCATATTCAGTAAGCACACCACAGTGATGTGTACCAACTATATGTTGGACATGTAACATACCAAAAATAGAGAAGGCTGGCCTGATAAGCATTGTTCACATCCCTCAAAACCAGTTGAGCAACTTCTAGTACTGTCCTTAACAATTGAATACTGTCTCTAGTAAACTGTACCAGTTTAAGCCGTCGCCATAACCAGCTCACTACACAGTCAAAATTCTATCTGCGCTTTCAGTTAACTGCATGTAAGCTTAATGAAGTGTGAAGAGGCTCTAAAATTACTCACAGAAGAAATGTGAAAAATAGCTCAGCTGACAAAGCGCTTGGTGAAATACAATTTTAGTGTACAAAATGAATAGTGGTACAACACAAAGAGCCATCACAGAATCTTGTGTATAAAAAGAAACCAAGTGATACATGATGGAAGTTTTAGCAGAAGCAGAAGGCAGCAAATCTGAAACAACAGCCGTTCGTGGCTGAAAGAGAAGCAGTCAGGGACTGCTCTCTGTAAACACAGAATCATGACACAAAAGGAGAGGGCTTGGCATTTTTAAAGAACATGCACATTTAAATACGAACATACATTCATATAGAAGAAAAGGGTCCAATCCTCCACACAAGCAGTCTGGTGTGCTGGTTACTGAAAACAACATGATAGGAGCAACAACCGAGTTGGAAAGGAAACGTTTAAAAATAGCTGATTTGTTTTGCTTTTAAACAAGTGTGGCAGTCTTGCCTGCATCTGTGGAGTTAAGTACAAGTCTAT